AGAAGTCAAGGATAAGATTGAAACAAATTATTATGAAATCTGGAACAAATTATATAATTGCTTGGGGAAAAATAGATGGAAAAACTCTCGGATTCAGCAAAACACATTGATCAAGAAAGATACTGATCAAAGAAAAAATACTAAAACATTAAAGTGAAAATTAAGAATATAGATGATGGGGATCCACCAGAGAATTTTTTTTAAAAAAGGAAATATTTGTTTGAATATGGGGATTATAAAATTATAGAAATTGTCAACGATTTTTCTTTACAAATGTAAACCTAGCAAACACACTGTTAACCAACTATTATGTGATTTATGTTTTAAAAACCAATAAAACTTATCATAAAAAAAGAAAAAAGAAAAATATAGTTGGTTATCAAAACTGCAAGTCAGAATTCCTGATTTGCAAACAATGCTGAACAAATCCTAAATACATCTGAGTTTTTTTAACCTCTTCTAGAGAAGCTCCAGCAACTTTAAATCAACAGTGTACAAAGTCACTATCAATAAAGCCTTAGCTGCACTGAGATTAAAACAATATAGTTGAAGCAAACAGATAACTAGAATTCAGATTATTGCTCTACTTTTCCTTTAGAATAGAACTTCCTGTTTTACTTTCTGTTTGTGCTCTGATTCAACTACAATCTCATTTGTACATCAGTGAATAATAAGGATAGATAATTTGTCCCACTAATAAAAACTTGCAACATTTCCAATATCAAGCACAAGGTATGTTAATCAGAAGCAAACAAAAATTAAATGGATTAAAAATAAAATGGTTCTAGTTTTCTTATTTTCAGTTCAGGGTGCTCAACATTTCTAAAGTTCTGGCCAACAACTACACTGACAATTGTGCTTTATTCAGGGTCTTAGATCATACTAGGCAAATACTGCAAACATTTTCTTAATTGAGAAATCATTTCAGAACAAATAGGATAAAGAGAGAATTTTAATAAAAACAAAACAAAACTGATAGCTCTTCTGCAGAAAGCCTTGGGAATTCAATGGGCTGTCAACATGCCAATACGTCTTGAACTCAGAATTCAGTTATATTTTATAGAAACCAACTTACATTTAAAAAGCTTTGTAAAGATAATTACTGTTCTTTCAAGGGCTGCTATTCCTTTTCAGCAATTCTCTAACATAAATCGGAAAAAAAATATTTTTAGGACATACATTCGGAGTATTAAAGTTATATTTATGTGAGCAAAAGCAATTTGAATGGCATAAGTCATTTTTAAAAAGATGTTATATATTCACTGCATTTTTGGAGTGCTACATACATTCACAAATACACGAGACAACTTTTAAAAGAGTTCCCAAGTTTTTTTTCAGAGATGTTACACAAAAAATTGAAAATGCAAACCCATAGTCGTATTTGTGATGAAGAATTCATATAGTCCTATATAATTTGATAATACAGCAAGTTTTTGAATTCTGAGATCATAATTTGTCAAGAAGGCAGGGGTGACAAGTACTTTAATAGATGTGACAAAGAGGTGTAGTTTTGTCCTTGATCTTGATAAAAATATCAGCATGGATATGTCTTGAAATTCAGATAAACATTAAAACATTTAGGAAAATAAAGAAGAAATTCCTGCTCATTAGAATCTATTTTTGTGCATCAGAATGTATTCCAATGCACTTTTCTACTAAGTGTACTGACCCATGCATGTGTTAATTTAGGAATGTACCAGACAGAAGTGCATTCTTCTGCTGTGTTATACTGCGCATAAATTTTGCATGCATTTATATGAGAGCAGTGAAGCATAGAAAGCTTAGACATATTCAGGGCTTTTTTTTGTTATAGAATGCCCAGAACAGAGTTCCGGCACCTTTTTTGGATGGAATCTTGTAGGGTAGGCAAGGTGGGTTGTATGAGTTCTGGCACTTTTTTTTTTTTTTTTTAGGAAAAAAGCACTGGACATATTAAATGATTTCTTATAAGGTCTTCCTCCAGTGTAAATCAAGACTTAATTAACATTGTTAATCTGTACCAATGTAGTTCTTGTTATTATAATTGAATGTAAGTATAAAACAACTTTTCTTAAAACCATTCATAGTCACATAAAACAGCTGTAACTTCATCACTTATTTGATCTTCAAACGTTTAAAATCCCAGGACCAAGCTTTTACATAAACATTTTACGGATATATACAGTACAGTAAACCTATACTGTTTATAAATTATAACAAACCTCTCAAATTGATATGAAAAACTACCAGTTATTGAAATTCTGGAAGATCAAGCATCATAAGAACTGTTATATTTTACTGCATGTTGTCCCACATAATCTAGAATTGAATCTTTTAAAGCAGTATCTTATAGAATAAATTCAGTACAATGAATGTGTCAAGGTTCCAATAGACAAGACCAAATAAATCAGAACTCTGAGGCTAGAAACTTCCTCAAAGAACATGTTTATTGGTTACATAGTATCGGCACGGTCAAAAGTGAAACCGAGTCTGAAATTCCCTCCAAAGAGTCACACTATTACAAAGTTAAAATTCCCACTCCAGTGCTATGCAATCAGCTACGTTTACCAATAGAATAGTTTGGCAGGCTTTCTACCCAACTGCTCCCCCTCCCAATCCAATCAGCAAAAATGACCTTGGTTCCCAAGGAACATTAAATTGATTAGACTAGCAAAATTCCTCCATCTCCCATCTTTGTGGCAAGCTAGAATGAGCATGATGGCTGCAGCCAGGTTCGTTGTAGAGTTGACAGAATGCAAAAATAATCACTTCTAAAAAATGTTGAAAAATTAAATGGACCAGGAACTATATTTGTCAACTTTCCCTTGTCATTTCCAATTATATCTTTTAGTATGGCTTGACATCAAATGTTGATTGAACATTTCACACAAAACAATAAGCAAAAATACTAGAGTTTCTGGTGTATTATTTATAAACACATTTCAATGGCCAACAACTTAATAGCATTAAAAATGTTATAACAGCTTTGAATGTAATTCCTAGCCTTGCTGTTCTCAAATATCAGAAATTTTAGGACAACTTCAAATCCTGGCTTCAACTTTGGTAAGAGAGTGAAAAACTCAAATTTCCAGATAAAATACTGAGCAACAGTTATCTTTTTCATCCTGGTGAGTTTCCATTTACTGGAAACTAGGAACCAGGAAAAAAGTACTTTACTCAGCACTTTTCAAAAATTGTGGCTTCCGCCTCCCCCCTGCCCCAACCACCATTGCTTCCAAAAAACTACATATTGAACTGAGTCTAGAGCGCAATGAATTACTATTCCCATGTTCAGCATTGAATATGGTTACACTGGCTGGCTATATATTGGCTACATTACATGTTCTTTCCCCAAGTTTTAACGTATTTCTCATTTTCAAATTGGTAATTCTATTACTTAAGCAACAGATTATGATTTCATGATGGAGCTATAATATATGTTTTTCAGACAAGAAACCAATATTTTGTATCAAAATCTGAAGACAATAGTGGTACCAAGCATTTGTTCAATAGAATCTATTGCTCCAAATTCAGTACAAAGAAACAGTGGCATTTTACAAGACCTATGATATAAATTTAAAATATACTGAAAAAAATTCCCACAATATATATCTAAACAAGAAAAAATGTGATCCTATAATTCAGAATGAAGGCTCAATGGAAAATATAGGAGTTATCAATCAACAGGAGTATTAAATTTAAAATTCTATTCTAATGGATTTTTTGTTTTGTTTTTAAGGTTCAGGAATGCCTATACTACCATATTCCACAAGCCATTCCACTTATTTACATAAAAATTATAGCTAATCAAAATAAGAAAATGGTATTAAGATAATTCATTACATATAACAACAGGACTAGTACATAATAAGGAAAAGGAATAAATGCAGAATATTTTAAAAAATGAAATATATGTATGTAATTTTGCTTAGTATGTGTGTGATTTTTTCCATGTATATCTATATCCACAAATAAACTTATCTTCTCAAATTATTGTCCTTTAAATGGGTGCATTCCAATTCCAGTAATTATTCTTAATCAATTCCTATAATCATTCCCATACCTGCAGGATATTGGATGAGGAAGTCTGAATTATATTATCAGTTGAGACTACACAGACAAAAAAAAATCAGTTGTATGATTGATGTTAGCCACCCAGAATTGCATGAACAGTGGGGAGCCATACAAATACTTATATTAGAAATTGGTTGGTTGGTTTTATTGTAGACCACCCTCATTCAGTCTGAAGTTAGATGGTGCGTAAATTAAAGAAGTTAAAATAGAAGCCATTGTCCTAAAGATTTATTTACTACATTTATATGCTACCCCTCTCAACAATTGTAAGCAGGCAATTTTGGCCTGCTTACAAACAGTAAGCAGATAAATATAAACACAGTTAAAATTAAAAAAAAACTGTATAAAAATTAGAATCAAGGATATGGATACCATGGGGATAAGATCTTCTTATCCCATCAACCATACCCAATGGTGAGTGCCCCCCTTGGTTTCCCAAGCCAACCAGCAAAACTAGCTTTTAATATCCTTCTGGAAGGCCCAAAGGTAGATATGCATGTATCTATGTATCCATTTTAACCTTAGACTTGAGATGTAAGCACACTGCTGAATAGATATTAGATTTATATTATGCAATATAAGGTGCTGAGCAGTGTGAGCAAGAGTGCTTCTCTCCCTCCACCCCAAGCATTTCATGTTTGAATGAGAGATAACAACTGACCCAAAGCCACCTACTAAGCTTTGTGGCCAAGTAATGATTTGAAGATGAGCTTTCACTCCCATTACACCAATGTAGCCCCATATGGAAGAAAATGTCATATGTGGAGCAAGTGGCCAGAAGCATTATAATTGTTCATACTTCATGACCTTATGTATGCTGTTAGCTAGTTAACTTGGTGTCTTCTAGAAGTCTTGAAATTTAATCTGCTAAACTGCTGGCACCTGTGAGACAAAGATAAAATACCTTTTCGTAATATTTGAATATATAATGATAAAGAATTACTCACAGCTTTGGCTTAGCAAGCACAGGTGGTGGTGTTTTTGTAGGTGAAAGCAGACCACCAGGGTGGGATTTGTCAGTTTTGGTGTTGCCATTAATTATCCCATTGATTCCATGGGTAGGATGAATTCCATTGGTTTTCTTCTCCACTGAGGTAAGCTGTAATTCAGAAGATGCTACACTTGAACTGGGATGACTGATCTTGGAGTGCTCTGAATACTTTGGAGGAAGCTGCACAGAATTAATCTCAAGATGTGAAGATGGAGGTGGGAAATGTTGAAAGTTATCCTCATTCTGTATTCTCATTGACAAATCATGGTTGAAGCTTTTGCAATTGGCTAAAATATAAAGGAAAAAATAGTCCAGCATCATAGGTAATTATAACACATTATTAGAATTATACTCACATTTTAGTTCATTGAAAATGAGATCATTATTTTAGTCGATTACATTGAACTGTTATGCCAAGAAAGACAGTTATTTTCAAATTCTCATGGGTATTTGAACTTAAGGATCATAAATATTTATTTACTGCTATTATTCATGTTACAATTGGAAACTGAGTTGAGAACAGTAACTGATATATGCTCAGTATTGGCTAAATGAATGAATTGTGTGTATCAATCTTATTTGAATTAATCACAGATCTATAATATCACTTTGCATGAAAAATACCAACTTATTCCAAGACTTTTGCATGCATTTCTGACTTATATGTAATGCTCACAGGAAAATACTGGGGTTTTATTTTGGCTTTTGCTTTTAACATGAGTTACTCATTTTTTCCATTTAGTCTCTGCTGCCACCTAGCAGTTATCATAATGAAATATATTGCTGACTACAGTACATGTTGTTTTATGATTAACACATAAAATTTTTATTAATTTCTTCATAAGTTAAAAGGTATGAACTGAACTAGACTTAAAAGAAAAATCAGAACCATTTTGTGCTAGCTAGAAACCATGGGGGTTTTACTTCAATACGTCTGAATGAGGAAAGGAAATGGTTTCATCTTGAACCATTTTTCAATATAATTATACACTCATAATAGCAGGACGCTTCAATGCATAACTTAGGTTTTTACTATGTCAATACATTTCTTGCATAATTTTATTTTTGTAGTTTGTAGTCCAATTGAAATAGAGGCCAAATTTCTCCCTTTCTCCCTCTATTACTGGTAGTTGGATCTACTGTTAGTTTATTTTACTGTATTTCCTAATGTCACCTCTAGGTGAGATGGGTAGAATACAAACCAAATAAGCAAGTGAATAAGTTTTAGAGCAGGGGCTCCCAATCTTGGCAACTTTAGGACATGTGGACTTCAACTCCCAGAACTGAGCTCCTAAAATTCCCCAGCCATGCATCTTAAAGTTGTCAAGATTGGAAACCCCTGTTTTAGAGCAGGGGTCCCCCAACCCCCAGTCCGTGGACTAGTACCGAGCCACAGCATGCCAGCAACTGGGCCACACAAACAAGCAAAGCCCCATTTGCGGGATGCAGGCAGCACACAAAACCATGCCCCCTCCAGTCCATGGAAAAACCTCTCTCCACGTAACCGGCCCAAAAGATTGGGGACCTCTGTTTTAGAGGATTATGTAGAATACTCTTAGATATGTCAACTTTATACTTCTTTTTACCCTGATGTAAAGTAATACATCATCAGTAAAAGATGTAGAAAGATAACATACGATACACTCTAACTGTATCTGGTGCAGCTGGGTCCAAACGTCACCCTGTTTCATTTATATTATAGACAACACAATCCATCAAAAACTGCTGAATACCTGACAGCACAGTCAGTTTGGCAGTGCTTGTGACTGATCCATAATCATTGCTTGCTGTGCATGCAAAGATCCCTGCATCTTCAGGAAAAGTTTCTGCAATCACCAAAGTACATATCTCCTCTAAAAGGCAATCAGAAGAAAAATGACAATTTTGCATCACGCTTCACATAATTATCTTTGGAATTCATGATATTTAGCTTCAATCTTAGTTCTAGGATAAAAATGATTTGATTTATTGGGAAGCTGCCTTCTTTGATGAGCATCTTAGTCCTCCACTCTTTTAGATGGCTATAAATATCTAAAGCAAACACTTTGTTCTTTCCATGTAAAAGCATCCTAAACCATTTACTGGATGTTAAAAGAAATCTAAATTGTGCTTATTTGAAACCTAGTATCATCTATTCAATGCAGAGTTCTCAAGATACAAATGACTAAGCTCATATTCTCCTACTTCGGATACATTATGTGAAGACCTAGCTCCATAGAGATGGTTCTAATAGTGGAAATGATAGAAGAAAAGAGAAGAAGAGGAACATCAGAAAGATCAGGTGGATAATCGTGGAAAAAATCTATGTGGTCACTAAGAGGTGACAACAACTTTATATCATATAACGCCATCTAACCCAAGAAAATTGACTATAGATACAAAAAGCTATAGTACATGACAAAGCAACTAATAGCTATAGTGCACCATAAAGTTATTTTATTGCAAATATAGCCTTAGTTTAAAATTGGCTTAGAATTGGATGCTGATAAAAAAAAATGCAACATATCGAACAACATATGGAATTAGTCCTGCTTCAGGACTAATTCTTCTCCTTACCTAAGATATTCAAATATTCAAAAGCACTAATGGTTTATAGAATGATAATTTTACAATATACACCTACACATGTCTGTACATACCCTCCATTATAACCATTCTTAAGCTTATGCCAAATAAGATTAAAGTAATGTATTTACTATGTAATCATCCATAAATTTAAAAATTCTGGTTAAAATAATTCAGTTCAGGTGGGTATCAAGGCTCTTGAGGTAGCACATAAAAGCTTTCCCCCAATAGCCAGACCTATAACCTGAAAACTCCTAGTTATTTGGGCGACCTGATATGGTTATTTGCTTAAATTCCAAGCTTGTTATTCATTTAAGAAAGGGCTAAAATCTGTACCCCAAATGCAATCTAACACAATCTTTTCTATACTATACCTTTATTAGAAGCAATGTCAGTCCAAAGTAGCCCAGGAGCTATCACTTGGCTTTCCAGCATCATCTGCTATTCTTTTCTAATAATAATAGGTTACATAACCCAGGACTTCTATACTAGTTGCCTACTGACAGAGGTCAAAATGAAAGCTATCCCTGCATTTATTACATGTCTTTCCCATTTTATTACTCTGTTAAATTCTGTTTAATAGTAAAAATGTCTAGGTTCACACATGATTTGCTTTAAACTTAGTTTTTAGTCCAACCTTAATCAGCAGCCAACAAATCTCAGTAGTAGGCTTATTACATCTTCCCCATTGTGTTTCACATTTGAGCCAAGTTTTTAAAACTCAGCCTTAATTGGCTGAGCCATGTTCATATTGCACATTATGCAAAGTTACTCCCAATTTTTCTCCATGGAAAACAAATCTAATTCTCTGCTAAAATATGCATGAATGATGTGTTTGTAAACAACTTTGTAGCATCATCTAAAAAGATATATGTGCAAAATGGCTCCAAAGGAAGGGAAAATAGTTTTAAAATATGAATATTGCATACTCAAAATAATTTAATGAGAACTATATCATAATGTCTTCTAATTATCTTGTATCCCAAATCAGAGTTAATGTTTAATTTGGAGTTCTTAAAAAGAAAGGCATGATTTACTTCTAAACTGCAATCCAACATCTATAAATATTCCCTCCTAAAATCAGTGACATATTTCTAGCAAAAAATTAAGAGACTTGCACAAAAATTATGTATCTTCACTGTAGAAACATAATTCTTGGGCAACTTCTGCTTAGTATCAGGTTAATATGTGTAGCAAATTAATGTAACCATGTAAAAAACATCAACTTTCCTGAGTTGATATAAAATTCAAGAAGCAATTCTTCAAATACATTTGAGAAACAGCTCATTTCTATATAAACTATTTGAAACTGTTTTCATTTCAAAAATAGTGATACATAACCATATATAGAAGATAACCTGTGTTGGAGATGGCCTGCATGCAAAAGAAAAATTTGGTATTGAATTCTCCCACTCTTAACCCCCAATGTCCTTCAGACACTTCATCAGTTTCTGTTGACTTACAGAATAGTCTGAAGAATATGGTACGGCTTTGTATTACTTTGTATTACACACATTAATTTTAATTGACCTAAATAACAATGAAATACAAAAAATAAGCAGGCTCTATTCTTCTCTCCCAGTTAGAAAGATCTCATAATATAAGCAATTTCAGACAGGTTATTTTTGTAAAAATCAATGTGATTATGAGGAATACAATTTCATATATCCTGATAAAGCAATACAATTCTATAGCATTTAGAATTTATTCACTAACAATTAATCCAAAGGATGGCAGCTAATTAAGGTGCCAGTTATTCAAACAATAGCAACAGATTAGCTATTATTTGTTTTAAAAATTCTACCAACTTTATCCTGAGGGTTCAAGAAACAATGGAGGAGGGAACCTGAGCAAAGAATCCAAAAAAAAAAAAAGGCAACTCAGTAAATGAATCATCAGCACTATTTCTTTAAAAAGAAACTTGCATGAGGATATTTTCAAAGAGGTTCGATAAGATTATTAAGGCTTTGGCAAAGTCTCCTACAAAATAATTTAATGGCTAGATGAAACTCTACAAAACTATATTCCACTTCCATAATCATTCTATCCCATCCAAGGTCTGTCAAATCTATCTAGTATATGCTTGAGATTTTGATTCTTCCCCTATTTTTCCCCAATATAGTATTTTGCACCCCTGAAACTGGTGAAAGACTCATAAGGCTCAGGCCTTATGTGATCTCTCTAAGCTTCTAATAATGCTGATTGTCAAAAATTAGTGTACTTTTTATTGCTTTTTTTTAAAAAAGAAAACACATGAACTCATAGTGCAAGATAAAAAATAGTTTTAAAAGCAAACAACTTTAAAAAACAAAGAAACAAACCAGAATATACAGGTAGTCCTCAACTTACAACAGTTCATTTAGTAACTGTTCAAAGTTACATCACTGAAAAAAGTGACTTATTTTTTACACTTGTGACTGTTGCAGCATCCCCATGGTCATGTGATCAAAATTTAAACAATTGGCAACTGACTCGCATTTATGATGGGTGCAGTCTCCCAGGATCATATGATTATCTTTTGAGAGTTTCTGACAAGCAAAGTCAATAGGTAAATCAGATTCACTTAACAACCTTGTTACTAAGTTAAGAACTGCAATGATTCATTTAACAACTTTGGCAAGAAAGGTCATAAAATGGAGCAAAACTCACTTAACAAATGTCTCATTTATCAAGATAAATTTTGGACTCAAAAGTCAAGGACTACCTGTGATAACCCTTGCTGAGTGACCAAAAGTTTACCTAACCTTATCTAGAGCAGAGGTCCAAAACCCCTGGTCCATGGACCAGTACCGGGCCACAGCATGCCAGCAACTGGTCTGCACAAACAAACAAAGGCCCATCCATAGGATGCAGGCAGCACACAAACCTACGTACTCTCCAGTTCGCGGAAAAACTTTTCTCCACAGAACTGGTCCCTGGTGCCCAAAAGGTTGGGGACCTCTGATCTAGGGCAAAATAATAGGGATAGACCAACTGCTCTGTGCATGGAGCCTCCTTTGGACAACTTGTACACAGAGTGAAATCCATATGCTTTCATCTGCTGTGGGAATGGCTTGGATACTATCTAAAATTCTGGTAGCCCGGACATAAAAAATTATTTGGATGCACTATTCCATTTTAGATTAACTGTAAATGTAATTTATCTTTATAATAGATAATAGCTAGGCAAACATGATTTTTTAAACAAAAAAATGTTTTCCAGGTTGGACATCCCCCTCGGCCAGGTAAGAACTTCCTTCTCTTTTAGGGAGGCAACTAGTGCTAGATTCTCCCCACTCACCCTCTAAACATATTTCTTTAAATATTTTGGCAAATGTTTAAAGAATCAGACTCTTTTTTCCTAGTGATTTCTTGATGGCAGTAAAGCCAGAGGGTTATTTTAAAAACTATTTTTCTGCCATAAGGTCATCTAACTCAGACCTCAATAATTTAAAAACTCTGTTGTTCACTATGTCAAAACCTCTGGATCTGTTCCAGATTCTGAACTAGTGAAACTTGAAGCAGGCACACACATAAGCAGAGCTTATGGATCACAGTATGTTTGCACTGAACATGAGGTAAAGCATGTTTTGTAAGGTCCCATCCAACTCTGATCTGTTTTCATGTCTGTGTGTATGTGAGAGAGATGCTTCAGTGATTTTCCTTTGCATTTTAGTTTGGATTTATCTTCAGTAATGCATTTGAGGGCATTCTTGTCAAAGGAACAATCCTATGAAGTTTTAAGTATGTGTCTTTGGGACTCCTTGCTACTGCAAAAGTAGTGATTAGTTGCTGCTTAATATGTGTGCTCAATTTATTTTCCTTTTCCTTGGAGCCAAGGAGGGGAAGGGAGAACCAATTTGGTTTCATGGTTACAGCCACAGGCTACAAGGCTGGAGAACTGTGAGTTCAAATCCTGCTTTGGCCATGAAGGCCAGTTGAGTGATTTTGGGCTGGTCATTTTTTCTCTTCAGCCTTAGGAGGGAGGCTTTGGCAAGCCACTTCTGTAAGTGTTATGGAAATTTTCTTCTTGTTTTATGCTTTGAGGGCTGTTTATAGTTCTCTGAAAGCAAAAGTTTAGTATAAATTATTTTTATTCTGCCAGGCTTGGTGGAGCTGGGGAGGGAGAGACAATCGTTTGTCTTTACAGCTATACTGTTGCTTATTTGATGTGCTACCTTCAAGAGTGATTTGTATATCATCTGCCTAAGACAAAAACATTCCAGAAATGTTGGCTCACTGCTGGTCAGGGAAGCCTGTGTGCTTTACCTTTTAAAATCCTAAATATGTCATTTACAACAAGTTTAAG